TTGTCTTTATGGCTCACGAGAGACACCCTTAGAAACACCCTTCTCGGAAGCTCTGCTGCTTCTGAAAGAGAAAAAAAGTGGGACTAGAAAGGAGCACTGCGTCCTCTGCAATAGAATTCTGAAGATTTGCAGCAGGCTTATTTGGATATAAGCTATCATACATTAAGGATCTTCTCTATGTGAATAAAGGGACTGAAATTTCAAACACATGCCACCCACAGCCTGCAGAGGCTTTGTGCCTTGGGTTGAGTATGAAGTATTACCATGGATTCATATGCTTGAATTCTTGGTCTCCAGTTGGCTGTACTGCTTGGGGGATGGCTGTAGGACCTTTGAAAGATGTGGCTGTCCTAGCAAAAGAGGGTCAATGAGTTCTATTTTCTGCTTCCTGCTGAGGCAACCCTGTGAGGATCTGTCATTTTCTACAATTACCATTTTCCATAGACACTCCACACCATGCTTTCCCTGCTCTCATGGACTAAAACTATGAACAAAATTAAATCCCTCTTCCACTAAGTTATCCCTGTTGGGCATTTTATCACAGCGATGAGAAAAGTAACTAATACAGAAAGTTTGTACCAGAAGTAAGGGTGTCATTTGAACAATTTGAATATGTGGTTAATACGCCATTTGGAACTGGTTTGCAGTTCCAGAGGAATGTAGAGGAGTTTGTCACTATAGACTGGAGGAGACCTATAATGCCATAGGAAAGTTTAGTGGGAACAGGAGTTTTGGGAGAACTGAATTAAATACCATTCATGTTACATTTTGGAAATGAATTTGGATATGTCCTGCTCTTGTACTAAAATTTTGAGTAACAGCAAATTCAAAAGTAATTGGCTAGGGCCAGAAATGGCAAAGGTTTTTACTGTCCAAACCTAGTGACCTGAATTCAATATCTGGAATCCACATAAAAGTGGAAGGTGAGACCTGGCTTCACAAAGTTGTCCTCTGATTTACACACACACACACACACACACACACACACACACACACACACACACACACAATAATAATAATAATAATAATAATAATAATAATAATAATAATAAAATTTTAAAGTTTAAAAAAGGCTAATTTAATTGGTAAGGGAACTTTCAAGACAGCATGGTGTCCAGGCTATGGCATGGGTGTTACTTGTGGCTTTTAGACAGTTTTACAGTAAGAATGGAGTGAAAAGGCAGAGCAGAAAGACATGGAAAAGTATGCCTTTTGGGAGCTTTGGAAAGTGTTGTGTGTTGATTTTTTTTCCAACATGAACAAACCTAGACATATCTGAGAAGAAGAACTCTTAATTGAGAAAATGCAAATCTGTAGTGCATTTTCTTGATTAATGATTGATGTAGTTGGCTCATTCCCACAGGGAACAGTACCATACATGGACAAGTGATCCTGACTCATAGAAGAAAGCAGGCTGCTCAGGTCATAAAGAGCAAGCCAGTATTCCTCTATAGTCCCTGCTTCTCTCAGTGATGGGAGTGGGATCTGATAGTTCTAAGCTGCAATAAACCTTTTCATTCTTGACGGCATTGCTTTAGTTCATGGTGTTTTATCCCAGCAACAGAAACCCTAGCTAAGACAGGTTCCTACGAATAAGGTTAATTAATGTGGGAGGGCCAGCCCACTGTGTGTGGTACCACCCATAGGCGTGAGGTCCTGAACTGTATAAGGGAGCAGGCTGAGCAAGCCATGAGAAACAATCCAGTAAACTAAGTTCCTCCATGGTCTCTGCCTCACTTCCTGCTTCCAGGTTTCTGCCTTTAATTCCTACTTTAGCTTTCCTCCATGATGGACAGGAACTTGTAAGCTCAACAAAACCTTTCTTCCCCAAGTTGCTTTTGGCCAGTGTTGGTTTTGGCCAGGTTTTGGCCAGGCAAAACCCCAACCATCAGTGGACTCCACATGTAAAAACTGAAAACACATTTAAAAGACCTTCATTTGAAAAGAGAATGTCACTCAATTGGTGGCTGACGGGGGAGGTCCTTCTGTGAATATGTTTGTCTTATTGGTTGATAAATAAAGCACTGTTGGCCAATAGGAAAGCAAGAGAGGTGGGGCTAGGAGCTAGGGGCTAGGAAAGCAAGGAGTCGAGGAGGATTCTGGGAAATGTAATAAAGAGAGAAGTCTCCATGTGATCATGAGGAAGAGAGGATGCAAGTCTGGCATCCTCTATAAGATAAGTCTTTATAAATATATACATTAGTAGTTATGGTTAATAATTAAGACTGAGCTAGCAAATGAGAAATCCTAGTCATTGGCCAGCAGTATTGTAATTAACATAAAACTCTGTGTGTTATTTGGGGGCCCTAATGTGGTGGGCATAATTCAGGTGGCTGGCGGAAAGAGTTATCGTTACAGGTGGCCTCTTCAGAAAAAGGTCACCCAGGGAAGTATTTGCATTGGTTCACTTTCTAGGCACCCAGGAGCTATTTAGCTATAGTCCAAGAGTACCTGGCAACCTTCCAGGCTGTCAGAACTTGCTCTGCTCCCAATGGTGCTGGCTTGACATGCATACACAGAGGAGGAGTTGCAGGGTCATGGGAGTTTGTGTCAAAGTTTCCAGAGAAAATCCTGCAAGACTAAGCTTGAGGTGGGAAGGGTCCCAATGGCAGGTGAGGGACAAACAGTAGGTAAGAAACAGAGACATGCAGATGTAACTTATGTGGAAAGTTTATTCGGAGAAGGGAAGGGAAAGGAAGGCACAAGAGAGAAAGAGAAAGTCAGAGGCAGAGAGAGAGAGAGATACAGAGAGATAGATGGCTTCCTACTCAGAGAAATGGCAGAAAGAGAGAGAGAGAGAGAGAAAGTAGGCAGAGCTTTTCTCTTAAAGAGACCTTCACACCTGCATACAGAACCAGGGTACTGCTTGTCATGCGCAGAGGCGGCAAACTTTGCTAGGTCCCCAAGAGGCAGTGCCAGGTTTGCCTGGATTACAATATAAGAAGTCTATGTCAGGGATAGAACCCATTCATAGAGACCCCAAGAGATCAATGCATGAAGCTGTAAAGGTGAAACATAAGTTCACCCGGGATGTTGGCGCTAACAAGAACATGGAACAACTGCAGAGGAGAGCTACAGGCACTGAGTGAAACCGGCTCAAAAGAGAATTCATGTGTGCTGCAGATGTCAGGCCCCGGGGAGGGGGGGGGCGGCGGGCGGCTATGCCAGGCTGCTGGAGTTCAGAGAATGCCACCACAGTCTCCGATGCTCTGATGAGCACCGAGGTTTAGTTGTTGTTCTTCGGGGTTACATTCTTGCTTGAGTCAAATATTTCCTGCCCCACATTCCTCTCTTTTAGAATGGGAAAGTTTACGTGTATTAGAATTAGGCCATCACTTTTTTCACCTCACTGGGACTCACAACTAAGAGACTGGATTCTTAGAAGGCACTTTGAACTTTGGGGCTTTTACTAGTGTTAATAGGGACTTTTAAAATTAGATTTCATGTGATTTCCATTATGAGATGGCAACGCGCCATCTGTGTGGGCTAGAGGATAGAATAGTATTGGTTCCATGAATATAAAATATCATCCATGGGCTCATGTGTTTGAATATTTGGTCCCCAGCTGAGAGCCCTGGGGAAGCTGTGGAACCTTTGGGATATGTGGTGTCACGGTCATCAGGACTTGAAAGCTATATCCACTTCAGGCCCCATCCTGAGCTCTCTATTTCCTGGTCCAGCTGCCACGTGAGGTGTTCCATCTCAATACTGTGCAGCTGCTCTGTTTTGTCTTCCTTCATGATGGACTGAACCCTTTGATTCTGTGAACCAAGATAAATCTTTCTCCTTAGAGTCTGATAGGCAAGCAATACATTTTGCTTCTGGCCATCTTGCATGATGGAGCAATTCTCCACATATGTTTATAATCTCTGCCTCCGTAACTCATCTGGAGGTCCTCTGGAAGGAGTCATAGTCCTTGAGGTATCAGTCCCCATTCATCAAACACAAGCTATTCATTGGCTGTGGGTCACTGGTCACCTCCTCAATACTGGAGATTAAACTGTCTCTCGAGTGCTGGCAAAGCGCTCACTTTACCACTGAACTTTGCTCTACGTAGTGCAGTTCAGTTGTACTACAGAATTGTACTACTTGTGAGGCAGGCTAGGTGAGAGGACAGCAATTCTTTCAACAAACAATCATCATGGGAGAATTCTGTAGATGGAATTATGTACACAGAAATGCAGAAAGTGCAGTTGTATGTAGCTCTTGGAAAGATCAATGAATCCTGGCTTATCCCACAGCCTACTCCCTGTCTGAGCAGTTTTATAACGTCCTCCTTTGCTTTCTGTTGCTGTGATGAAATACTGGCCAAAAGCAACTTGGGGCAGAAAGGGTTTGTTGAGCTTACAAGTTCCTGTCTATCATGGAGGAAAGCTAAAGTAGGAATTAAAGGCAGGAACCTGGAAGAGGGAAATGAGGCAGAGACCATGGAGGAACATAGCTTACTGGATTGTTTCTCATGGCTTGCTCAGCCTGCTTTCTTATACAGTTTAGGACCTCACGCCTAGGGGTGGTACCACACACAGTGGAGTGGGCGCTCCCATATCAATTAGCAACCAAGAAAATGCCCCACAGATGTGCCCATAGGTGACTCTGACAGAGGCAATTTTTCAATTGAGGCTTCCTTTTCCCAGGTGTGTAAAGTTGACAACTATGGCATATAAATAGAAACTTGGTGCTTTTCCCCACCCAAATGATCCATTGTTTCCAGACAATTCCACCTCTGCCTCATACTGAATTTATGACAAAAGCAGTCTTCAAGAGGCTAAAAAGAAAATAAAATTTCTTTGACTTTTTAAAAAATGCAGTTAAATGCACTTTTCCAAGACTGCATCTGACCAGACCCCTGGGATGAGATGCTACACTGAACCATATCCTCCGTTTTCTTCCCCTGTTGGCATATGACTGCTGTGGTTGGTCTTACAAGAATGTCAAGCAATACTTGCAAAACCTGAGACACATTTATCTTATCTCTTGGCCAAAAGAAGTCAATCCAGTGCTTCTTAGAGAAACTCCATTTTATTTGACATTAGGAAGGTGAGTGTCTTAGTCCACGCCTTTTATTTCCTCCATCAAGGCATGCAAGCAGGAATCCCTGTGGGTAACTTTAAAACTGACATTCCCTTTGTGGGGAGGGAGATTGAAAATCTTTGCTTTAGACAAAAAGAAAAGCAGGACATGCAGAGACAAGGCACACTTCCAAGGCCTTGCCCTCCTATCCTAATGAATTGCACGTTTGTATAGCACAGACAGCTGTTTACACAGATTATATTTACCTAGGGCAGGAGATCAAGAAGATTCCTTTCCTATCAGACATCTGGAAATGTATGCAAATTTACCAGTCATGTTTGCAGATCTTGCAGAAGTCGAAAACAAAGTGTGGCTGAGTGTTTTTTGTTCTCGGTTGTTTCACTTGCTCTCTGCTCTTAGTCCCCTTAGCTGACAATGATGATCAAGCTACAGAATTCACCACCATGCCTTCCATCAGAAATCTGGGTACCAAAGATTTGTCAGGAAGCTTTCCTGGGAGAGGTGGGGGCACAACCTTATCTGTGGTTGCATAACTGAACACAGACGTAGGAAAACAGCAATAATAAAAGGTTTCTGAATGTGCAACAACCAAAAATTAGTTCCAAGTCAAACACAAGGAATCCAAGATGTTTCTGGTAGTGCTCATCCATGCTGTGTTGTGAGGCTTCATGACACCCTTGGTTCCTAGGGCACAGCATATAGTAAAACACACCCAGAAGAAGTCTTTTATTAAGTTTACAGTGGTTCTTTCTTGTCAATGTTTCCATCTCTCATTCACTCCCATGCAAAGCACACCTATGCAAATTTTCTCTTGTAGATCATTTCTCCTTAAAAACTAAATTCTTGGTAGCTTTTTTTAAATTTCCAATTTGACATTTCATTAATTATTATAGTATATTGCATTCTGTGTTCTTTTATCTGTTTCTTCTGGAAAAGACAGCTATGCCCCAACATCATCTCTCCCTCCCCACTGCCCCACATTTCCCCTACAAAGAGGCTTCTCTCTTCAGCTACATACATCTTATAAGTCTTATATCTAGTCAGGGCCCTTTGGAACCACTGGGAGTCCAATTGAACCTTGCCACACCACATCCTTTTCAATCCTTCTAGGCACCATTGGGATTCCTGGTTACATTTCCCAATTCCCAAAGACATACCTCACTTCCAGGATTCCTTTCATGACGAATCTGTATCTCCTAAGAGTTTAAAGGCAAACTGCCTCTCTCCTGAGCTCAGTGCAGTACTAGAGATCTGACATCATAAATATTTTAAACCTTTCCCCCAGAGAATCCCACCCCCCTTGATCTGGCTCCCCAAAGAACTTTAGATGTTGATTCTATCAGAGGCACCTGATCTCCAGCAGCAGAAAACTCATCTGTGTGACACACACCGATCCATGATTGACTTTTATTAACAAGAAACCTGAAAATGGATGGCCCAATCTTAGTTCACTGGTTTTGTCGTAGCATCAAAGATCCAGATTCCATCTTCCCCGATTGCCAACCTGTGTGTGTGGGGGGAGGGGGGCTTCCCCACCTTGATCACACTTTCCCCAGATTTCTAAACAAAGAGATCTTCACATACAGTGCCCAGAGTTTGAGGCCCTCTCTTTTTAACATATGAGGAAAAACCTTTTCTCAATGCTCTGTTCAGCCTGTAGGACTTCACTTACATTCTATTGGTCAGAAATGAGTCACATGTCCAGGCCTAGAGAGGACACTGGCACACCGTAGTTGTCATAACTGATTTAGATAAATTTGGACTACTGTTCTGGCACATTGCCATCCCAATAATGTCCTCGAGATTGACGGGTCCAGCATATGAGGGCACATCAGGGGAAGATAAGTGGGGACCTAACCACAGAGCTTTTCAAAGTTGCTTTATAAGCACAGAAGCATCTAACTGGTCTAACATCAAGTTGGGGGATTTCATTTTTACTGGTTTCCATAGCCTCTCTGTAGAAGATTAGGGCAGTAAGCAAGATCCTACCAACCTAACCAAACTTCTGGAACATTCTCTGTTCTTTTTATCCCTACTCTTTAGTAAGAATTTTGAAACTTAGTGCACTCATTATTGTCTCTAAAAAGCATTGAGAGTAAAACAATGCTGCTTGGGATTTGTTCAATGAAATTAGGGAAGATAACTGGCAGCTAGCATGATTCTAATTTAATGTTTTTTGGATAGCAGATCCATTTCCTTGGCCATTCTGATTTGGATGTAACTGGTATGAACAGTGCCCCTGAATTTATACTGGTTAACTATATTACCAACTAAGAAAGATCTGTGAAGTCTGTCTTACTCCAAGCCCATGGACCATCATGTCTGGTACCACATAAAAGTGCAATGAGGAGGAGGCAGTCACTCCAGATCTTCTGGATCGCCAGGACAGGAAAGTTTCTGAGAGGATGTGGGATTCTGTGGACAGTGGAGACTGACTAGAAACTCAGGGCGAGGAGGGGGGGTAAGGAGGAAGGATAGCTAAGGCCACGGAACAGAGCAAGGAGGCATCAAAGCATTAACAATAAAGGGTATTCTGAGTTCAGGAGCAGCTTAGATTTCTGACTTTTCCTTCAGGGAGTGAAAGAAGGGCTATGGAGGACCCCAATTGGGGTGATATGTGCAGATAACAGACTCTGATGGGTACATAAATGATCTCTGATAGCTCTGGCAGCTGAGTCTAAGGTCAGGGTGACCGACTCTGCTGAGGGTCTTGCTGATGTGCCCTCATATGCTGGAAAGCAGAAAGGCAAACCAATGAAGTGTACCTATGCTTGCCAAAAGAGAAAAAAATGAGTCCTCTAAGAATGTTTATAACACCACAGATCCCTCCCTGATGGCAGAAGATCTCCGCAAAGCACACCTCTGAAAAAACACAGTTGCACCAGAGATTGTAACCATTACTTGGTGGGGGTGGTAGGGTGTTCAAGCCAAAGCATGGTCCAGACTAAGCTTTGAATCTCATAGAACAGGAACAAAAGAAAAGTCTTGAGAAGGGAAGAGATGGCCCAGGCCCATTTGTTTTTCTGAATCTTGAATCAGAGCAAGTCTTTACAGAATGGTTAAGGTTAAGATGATTCTGAGTCTCTCAGTTTCCCTATGTGTGTGACTATCTGAGATTTGAAGAGTTCACTGCACTGTTCACACTGTACCCTGATGTATTAATTACTTTTTTATTGCTGTGCCAAAATATCTAGTGTTGTGATTTAAATGTGACTGTCATCTGCAGACTCATGTGCGTGAACAGTTAGTCTCCAGTTGTGAGTGGGCCTTGAGGTGAGGCCTTGCTGGAGTAAATGCATGACTGGAGATACACTTTGGGGTTTTGTAGTCTGTCCAAATTTCCTGTCCTTTCTACTTCTGATTCTGCTAAGAGAGCAGGATGTGAGGAGTCACAGTTGCACACTATCCCCACAGTGGGGCTGCCTGTACCATGCCTTCCCAACTGCAATTAACTATGTCCTCCTGAAGGGTGAGCCAAGATAAATCTTTTCTCCCTTACATTGCTTATTGCCAGGTGTTTGATCAATTGATGAGAACAGTTACTAATTTTCTTAACAAGAAACAGCTTAGAGGAGAGAGGTTTTATTTTGGCTCACAGTTTTAAGAGCTACAGTCCATCTCAGAGGAGAAGTCAGGTGGCAGATGGCTCCGGGGTGGCAGCAGTGTGCAGCTGGGAGTCTTTCTCTCATCTTGGCAGGACAAGAAGCAGAGAGTAAGCAAGAAGCAGGGCTCGCCCACCCTTCCTCTGATTCCCACAGGGTCATCCCACTTCCTCCAGGGAGGCTCCACATCCTCAGGGTTCTACAGCCTACCAAAACTGCACTGTCCACTAACGACTAAATATTCCAACCTCTGAGCCTGTGAGAGCATTTCACATTCAAACTGCAACACCTGTTAAGGACTACTCTGCTTACACTCTCATAGCAAATATTGACAATCCGAAGTCAGCCAAAACGTCTTGTATCTTGGAAATCAGTTGCTTTCCTGGCTTAATTTAAAAGCAAAACAAAACAAACAATCTCAACAGCAAATCTGTTAAACAACATGGCCAGTCAGGCTCAGGCAGAGTTATGCATAAAATAGTGATTTCTAATCCTTTCTAGGTAAAGTTTAAGGCTAAGTTGGTGAGAGGTTAAGGATCTACTACTAGACAAATAGTATAAAAATGGGGACTTTTTCAAATTATTTTTTATGATTTATTTATTTTTCAGTGGCCGACCCTGCTAGAATAGTTGTAGAGATGCAAACATCTACTGGGAAGGGGATGAGTCATTTATTTACCTTTATGGTCCCACGAAGCTACCACACGCTTTGGATTCCAGGATGCCGAAGCTTCCCTCTACAACATTTGTAAAAGGAAAAGAACCAGCCGACCCTCCACCTCTGCAACTGTATAAGTTAGAGTTCAAGAAGGAGAAGAAGGGATGTGTTGCAGGAGGAATGCCAAGTGACCTTATGAACAGTCCAGCCCTTCCCACAGAGGCCACACCCAAATGGAATGACTGCTTGTGTGATGAGTCCCTGTGACCCCAAAGTCCTAGACTTCACTTTGAGAAATGAGAAAGTCACCCTCCCAGTTATGTAACAGACATTCCTTTGAAACACTGACATTTGTTTCATATCAGTAGAAAGAAAGAAAGAAAGAAAGAAAGAAAGAAAGAAAGAAAGAAAGGAAGGAAGGTAGGAAGGAAGAAAGGAAGCCTATTAAATAATGAAACAAAACTGTCCTTCATGTCAGGCATGGGCTGAGCTTTTTCTATACATTGTCCCATTGGAGGCTTATAGAATCTTATTAATGAAGTGGCCTTACCTCCACTTTATAGGTTGGAAAATCTTCCAGGGAGCAAATTAACAAGTTGTCTAAGTCACACAGCTAATGTGCTGGCTTCAGGGTTTGAACTCAGGTCTACTCTGTCCATCTCACGTCTGCCTCTTCGCCATTTCACTGCACTTTATTTAGATAAAGGCGAGACTCACTGTTGAACTAACTGGGAAAACACATTTAAAAGAATCACATTAGATGGCCTACCTCAGAGAACATACATGAGATTCCCTAGAATGTGAGGTATATTGTCTAACCAGTCTCTTCAGCCTTCTAGTCCCCCAAAAGAGGTCTAACAAAGAGTAAGAACGTTCAAAGAAACTCTGAAACTCTGTTATATCCCAGTCTGATTTACTTCCTGTATTTGGAAACATATTGAAGGACCATACAACTTTTAACTACCTTTATCTCTCAGCCTTGATTCAATTACCAGAATCCACATAGCTACAACACTAGAGAAGTTCCCAACTTCAAAGAAAAATACCAGGAACCCCAAAGTGTCACACCAGCTAGAATCATAATGGGTAGAAACTGTAAGAACAGATTCCCTTTCCATGGAGATTTCTATCACACACCAGCTTAGATCAGAGACTGATGGCACTAATGGATGCTTCACACACACAGCAGTCTTTCTCTGCTGAGTTCTAACATTTATATACCAAGACACTCAAAGACACAGGACACTTCAGCCCATCTGAGATCATTGTCTGGCTTATAAGTTTGTAATAAAACCAAATGGATGGAGTTCAGAAAATATTACTGCCACAGACACTGTCATTTCCACCTCCGAACACTGGGTCAGGGGGGGTGGGGGGGGCAGAGAGAGAAGGTTGGGAGTGTTGGAGGCATTATTAGGGATAAAGGGAGGAAGGGGGGATTTAAGCCCCATTGACCCACATGCACTGCTGAGGAGGATACCAGCCTGGATCTCTCACGACTCCAACTGTTGTCTTCCCTCAGAGCTCTCAGCCACCATTTCCTCATTTGAAACCCAGCTCTCAACTCTGCTGTTCCCAGTCAGATCAGGTCAGATTAGGCATTTGCTCCTCCTGCAGAAGGGAGATGGGACAGTGGACATATCACCCTGGGCAGGACCTTAGAAGAGCTCATAGCCAGTAAATAGGTAATCAGTAGCCTGGAGCTTTCCTGCCTACACAGGTGCTGGGGACCTGGGAAGCCAATCAAGCTCTACCTCCCTGTTTGTTCCCTCTGAAGGTCAGCTTCCTCTACATAAAATGAAGTTATTTTAAAAGAGAAACGGGAGCTAGAGAGATAGCTCAGAGGTTAAGACTGCTCTTCCAGAGGTCCTGAATTCAATTCCCAGCACCCACATGGTAGCTCACAACCATCCATAATGAGATCTGGTGCCCTCTTCTGGCCTGGAGGCATACATGCAGACAGAATACTGTATGCATAATAAATAAATCTGAGAGAGAGAGAGAGAGAGAGAGAGAGAGAGAGAGAGAGAGAGAGAGAGAAGAAGGGAAGAAAAAGATCAGTGCTCCTAGGCCAGTTGTTTCACCTACTATGCAATGGGGTCAGTGATGATGCCCCTGTCTAGCTTGTGGTACATCTAAGGCTAAACAGACACCAAAGGATCCCATAACTCCTAAAGCACTTGAGTATATACAATCTAGTATTCTCACAAAGCCCTAAGTAGGAGAGTTCATTTCTCTAACCTTGGTTCCTTTCACCTAAGATGTCATCTTCTACCCCTGCACCCATGTCCTCCATTCTACTCTTAACCTACAGTCAGGTGCTGTGGTGGTTTGAATAGAAATTGCCCTACGGGCTCAAATATTTGAATGCTTAATCGTTAGAGAGTGGCATTACTTGAGAGAGATTAGGAGGCGTGGCCTTGTTGGAGTGGGTGTGACCTTATTGGAGGAAATGTGTCATTGGTGGTGAACTTTGGCATTTCAGAAGTTGAAGCCAGACCCAATCACTCTCTCTTCATGCTGCTTGCAGATCCAGACATAGAACCCTTAGCTACCTTTCCAGCACCATGTCTGCCTACATGCTGCCATGCTGCCTAATGGACTAAACCTCTAAATGTAAGCAAGCCCCAACTAAACATCTTCCTTTATGAGTTTCCACGGTCATGATGTCTCTTCACTGCAACAGAACCTTAACCAAGACAGGTGGAGTTGGTCCTGAAGCAGCCCCAACATCCCTGCCAAACAACATAATCTATCTATTATAATCTATCTATTATAAACTTGTCCAGGTTTATGAGAGAGCTTTGGTGCCATAGATTCCTCTGATTGGGTATTGGGGAGAGGACATTGGCTCTGAGCCCTGGGGGAAGTGAATGAAGGGCATAGGAACTCCTGAGCCCAGAGGGTCTGGGTTAGGTACTCCTCTTCTGATAGCTGTGAATATCCAAGCAAGGCAAAGGGGAGGTGGGTTAGAGATGACAATGGCAGTCCAGACACCTTTGGCTCCCATGTGGCTGATATTGATTAATTAAAGAATTAATGAAAGAAGGGAAGTGTTAATTCTACTTGGCATACAATGTCAGTAACTCATTGCTGTTATCTTTCTTATTGTATTAGCTTTCCATCACTCTAATGAAATACTTATAACATTAACTCACAAAGAAAAGGGGGAGTGGATGATGGCCCAGTAGGTAAGCACTTGCCACGTGTCTTAGTGACTTTTCTATTGCCATGACCAAGGCAATGTAGAAAGCATTTAATTTGGGGTTCATGATTACAGAAGATTGGAGTCCATTATCATCATAGTAGGGGCCATGGCAGCAGGCAGGTAGGCATGGCAACAGAGCAGTGGCTGAGATCTCATATCTTGGGACTGGACCACTAGGTAGAGAGAACCAGCCGGAAATAGGATGAGTCTTTTGAAATATCAAAGCCTGTCTCCAGTGGCACACTTCCCCCAACAAGGCTACACTTCCTAATCCTTCCCAAACAGTTACACCAACTGTGAACAAGTATATGAGACTATGAGGGCCTTTCTCATTCAAACCATGAGAATATGAGCTTGCATCCCTACAAGCAACATAAATCTGGATTGGGTAGCACACATCTGTAACCTCAGAACTCCAATGGAGAAATATGAGGGGAAGACGGGAGAATCCCTGGAAACTCATGAGCTGTAGCTTGCACACACAAACATGAACAGCAACAGACCTTCACATGAAGGCTATGAGATGCAAATGTTGAGGAACCACACCAACTCCATTTTGTTCCTGAGAGCCATTTTAAGTTAGGTTTCTATTTACTATAGCTGTACCTAAGTTATGTTTCTATTTCCTGTAAAACTTAAGTTTCTGGGCTCTGTGGAGACAGCTCAGTGGTTAAGAGCTCTGCCTGCTCTTCTAGAGATCCCAAGTTCAATTCCCAGCAACAACATGGTGGCTCACAACCATCTATACTGGGATCTGATGCCCTCTTCTGGTGTGCAGATGTATGTGCAGACAAAGCATCCATATACACAAATAAGTAAATCTTTAAAAAATCAAAAGAACAAAACTTAAGTTTCTGGTTTTTTGAAATTGGGCTGTGCCCTACCCCTATGGACATATAATAGTCTGTAATAAATGTTTCAGGAAGATTTTCTTAACTGCCTAGTCTCTCCTTAGTAACCAGGCTTACTTACAAAATCCCTTACCCTTTGGTTTTGCCCTATAAAAGAAGCTTGAATAATTTGCCCAGGGCTGTTCTCTCAAACCCAGTCTTAGGGAAAGACAGCTGCTGGATTGGCTTTCCTGTGCACAGAATAAAACTTGCTTTAATTTGCTCATAATTTGTGATCAGTGGTCTTTAGTCTCATTTGGTGAGATTAAGAATGTCTGTACTCACAAATGCATACACATGCATAAACACACACACACACACACACAGAGAGAGAGAGAGAGAGAGAGAGAGAGAGAGAGAGAGAGGGAGAGAGGGAGAGAGAGGGAGAGGGAGAGGGAGAGAGGGGAAGGAAGGGAGGAAGAGAGGGAGAGAGATAAAAAAATACCACCAACATCAAAAAGACAGACTCTACCAAATCCCAGTAGACATAGGAATCAAGCCCTTGATATATGGGTCACTGGAAGGCACAGAGTGCCCAAATTTAGCATCCATTTTATCATTGAATGTGAATTGAATTAATGATGGTTTTATTCTCCCACAGCAGTAATCTCCACAATTGCTCTGCCTGTTGCTACTCTTAACACAACTATCATCCAAGAGGTATTTGTAACCTCTAGGAAGTTAATAAATCTAGGACACTGTCCCCAACTTTTTACATATTTTATTCCTAAATACCTGTCCAATAGATTTCAATATCATATATGCTGCTTATCTGTTTAAATAATAAGCAGCACATTATATATGTTGTTATAAATAATCGTGTATGAGAATCATGCATGCTACTTATAAATATATTTAATGCATAATCATATTCTATAAATATTATAAATGTAATACATACATTATGTAAAGATATGTGTAACTGTGTTTCATACATTAAAATATTAAGGTTTTTTTAGGGGGTAGAGATTGAGACAGAAATTCTCTCTGTAGTCCTGGCTGTCCTGGAACTCACTCTGTAGACCAAGCTGGCCTCACACCCAGATATCCATGTGTCCTCCTGAATTCTGGGATAAAAGGTGTGCTCTACCACTCCTGGCAAGATTAATGATTTTCCATCCTTTAAAAATCACATCCTGTCTTGTGAGCGTTGTGGGAGGCAATCCCACTGAGAGTGTTTGTCTAGCCAATCACCATCAGCTGCCAACACTTAAAAAAGAGACATTGTATGATCTGTTTTGAAATGTTACCTGATAAATGCTCTAATCTGGCAATTTCTTGACTCACTTATCAGTGTTCTTTATGAAATCTTCTAGACTGGAAAGCTGGGTCAGGCAAATAATCTCGATTTTCAACAATTAAGTTGTAAGAGGGAAATAGGGAGCTAAAGGAGATACTACAGAAATTTAAAGACTTCTCAAGGTACAGAGAGAGAGTAAATGTCTGTGGAGTGCTCAACCACAAATGGGACATCTATATCACGCTATCCTAGTTAGGGCTTGTATTGCTGTGAGGAGACACCATGACCATGGCAACTCTTATAAAGAAAACATTTACTTGAGGTATCTTGCTTACAGTTTCATTGGTTCAGTCTATTACCATCATGGTGGGGAGCATGGTGGCATGAAGTCAACTGACAGTCACACTGAGGGAAGTTTGAACAAAAGAGACCCCAAATCCTGTCCCCAAAGTGACGCACTTCCTCCAACAAGACCATACCAACTCCAACAAAGCTACACCTCATAAGAGTGTCACTCCCTTTAGGGGTGATTTTCTTTCAACCCACCACATGCCCCTATTTTTCAGACTGAGGGACCATCTTGGAAGAGAGGGTGGGAATATTGTAAAAGTCAAGGTTGAGGAGGACCAGAAATAAAGGGTTTCCTCTGGACATGACAGGACCTCTGCACTCATGCAGCTGTGGTTGCCTACCCAAGACCTGGGCAAGATCAAGCCAGTCAACATTCCAACATGGAAGAGGGAAGGGTACAAGAATCTCCAGCCCACCTGAGTTGCAATTGGCAGTTGTTGGCTTCTGGGGGCCAGAGAGTCTCTTCAAAGTAGTGTGCTCCTGGTAGATCCACCATACTCCAGCAGATTGCTTCACACCCATGACTAAATGGGGAGCGCAAAATGGACTTAGTGGGTTAAAAAAAGGAAAGAGAGCATGAGGTTGGGAGGAGTAGAAAGGTAGATTAGGGTGGATCTGGGGGGGGGGAAAAGGGGAAGAACTAGAAAAAAATGTGATCAAAGTGAGGTTGGGAGGAGTAGAAAGGTAGATTAGGGTGGATCTGGGGGGGGGGTAAAGAGGAAGAACTGGGAACAAATGTGATCAAAGTATTGTAAATGACATGCACGTATAAAATTCTCAAGTAATCAGTGAAATATATTTTTAAAAGAAAATTAAGATTTTAGAGAGTCATCATTATCCTCAACCAGTATGCAACTTCAGTGTTTCTACTATCAGACCTGGTTCAACCAGACTTTGAAATAAGCCTGAGAAAACCAGGAAAGTCTACTGAGAATATTAATTTTAATTGCTATATTGATAGTATTATTTTAATTTTTAGACATAAATTGAAACATTAGCCAGGAGATGGTAAGGCACATGTTTAATCCCAGCACTCAGGAGGCAGGGGCAGGTGATCTATGTGAGTTCAAGGCCAGCCTGGTATACCTAGTGAGTTCCAGGACAGCCAAAGCTGTAATATGGAGAAACCCTGTCTTGAAAAAACAAAAAACAAACAAAAAAGAAACTGAAAGAAACATTGACAAATACAATTGTTATGTCTAGGATTTGCTTCAGAATAATTGGGAATTGAAGACAGGTTAGTGCTACTGGTTAATTTTTGTTGAAGCTGAGTGGTAGACATGCACTGTTGATTCTGTATGTGCTTGAGATGTTCTTCAATTAAAACCTAAAGAAAAATAATCCGCCTTCCACCGAGGTGTCTCATCAGATAGTAAACCAGATGCAGCCCCACCTCACAGAAAATCCTGCTTTGAACAGCCCTCTCCTGTTATCTCCACACCCCTCAGAGAACTGGGTAAGCTTGTCCCAAGCACCTGCCTGGTGTTTGAAGGGCCTTCCCATTATCTCTGTGAAATCCATCTCTTACTTTGCCTGGTTTCCTCATTTGCCACTTCCCCCAATGTCATGGTTCTGCCCCCTTCCTCTGTCTCCTGGAAGTTAAGGACTCTACCTTCTAAGCCAAGCACTTTTTACGCTATAATTTCTAAACAGAAATTGTGCAAGAGAAACTTAGAGAAAACACATTTTTCCCGTGTCACGACAGAGGAATTATGTTAATCGATGATCATGAGTTCCTTATACTCTGCGGGTTCCTTTGTGAAAGTTATTAAGACATAGTTTCTCATATCCGTTCAGCAAATGTGGAAACGGTGCAGCTGGGAGAGCAGTTCTACTGGGAGTCTTTGTGAGGAGTTGAGAAGAATCTCCTGTTCCTGGCTCTCCTTGGCTGGTGAGATCTGTCTAGCACAGTGATTCTCAACCTTCCCAATGCTGCAACCCTTTAATACAGTTCTGCATGTTGTGTGACCCCCAACCATAAAATTATTTTTGTTGCTATTTCATAACTATAATTTTGCTACTGCTATGAATTGCAATGTAAATATTTGATATGCAGGATATCTGATATGTGACCCCTGTGACAGGGTCATTCAACCCCAAAAGGGTTTCAACCCGCAGGTGGAGAACAACTAACAACAGTTCATGGGCAAGCTGCTTACCACCATGAAAGAATGAAGGGGCCTCTTTGTATTGAGTGAGCACAGCTCCTTGACTTTAGACCAACAGAGATGGGACCTTTCTTTGCTGTCTGGACGGTCTTGCTGAGACAGTCTTACTGTGTAGCCTAGGCTGATCTCGAGCCCATGATACTCCTTGTTTGTGCAGTGTTGGGATTGCAGTCATGTGTCACCTTATTCACGTTGCCATGTGGAAGAACAAGAAAAAAAGTTCTGCTAGGGGATGTGTCTGATTTGCAGGCTTCTATACAAATTGTCTGTGCTGTCTCTGGGCCTAGACCCACAACTGCATAGGACATCACATGGATGCCATACTTCAGGAGCGAGGCAGCCTTGTTTTGCCAAACCTACCTAGTTACATTTGATCCTTTTCTTCCATATATCTTGCCTTCCCATTAGCAAAGCTACAGCCTAGTGCCAGCCTTCTCAAAGCCAATTTCTTTCTGGAACGCTCTCCTCCCCAAATTGCAATGTGAGGGCGGCTTGCTTCTAATCCTAAAACGAATTTGCTATAGACCTTCCCTCCTTCCCTGGCTCCATTCCCAGTCCTCATCCCCTTTATCCTAACAAGTGTTTTTATTCCTATAGAGATGGTATCAACATCGCCCCATGTTGGCTAAGTAGCAAGCAGTGAGAGAGTAACCAGTCACCATCACACAACTAGTCTGAGCCAGCCTGCCAGGGAGGGCAGAGGCCGGAGCACATGGAGACCGTGCTAGGTTACTGTTTCTGCAATCTATTTCTCTGACAAGAATGAACGGTGGTCATTAAGATAAAAAGGGACTGTTGGCAGGGAAGCAGACAGGAAAGCTGAGAAGCCCTCGGTCGGGCTGCAAGCCCTCTAAAATTGCCTCCATCTGTCACAGTTACCTTGTGCTGTGGGGAGGAGCAGTGGAAACTGGAGAGAAGGGAATTGTGCTTTTCGCATACCTGCAGGGCCAGAAGAGGCCAGGATGGAGTTTAGGGATCCAAGGGAACTACCAAGAAAGAACTTACCACCTCCCATGTCCCCCCACAATAGAACACTATGGAGGCTGAGGCTGCAGACAACATCTCCCTGTCTCCCCTCCCCAGCACATATCAAAAGGAGCCTGCTGGAGCTGAGGGTTCTGAGAACATCTTTCAACTCAGTGGAGCAATGAACTCCACATGCATCTGCTTTAGTTCCGATTTTCCATTATTTAATTTCCATGTCTGCATATGTCTCATGATACAAACACAACATGATTTTGTGTTTGTATATTTCCATCAGGTTATAAGACTGTGTTTTCCCGAATAGTATACTCTGTGGCTTTCTTCATTGTACACTTCACCCACATTATATACACCCCACCTCTTGTACCCACATCTTTTCCTATTTATTTCATCCTTGTCCCCTTCTCTTTTTACTGCTTACTTATAACCTTCCACAGTTTTAACAATCTCTAAAACCTGTGTGGACTGAGAGTCTCTGACCTTTCCCTCTCAGCCTGACTTTACCTACCTTGATTTTTCTTTCTTCTCAATGGCTTTACTAGTTACACCTTCCCTCACTTGCTCTAATTCCCTCCCTATGATCCTTGGTTGTTTATCCTCCAGCCATCTTTGTATTCAAAGAAACCACTGCTGTTAATTGGTTTGTACAGCATTTGAATAGTGATACTATTTAGCCCTATGGTTGCTCTCGTAGTTAATAGCCTACCCAGAAAATCATACAGAATTTATATATGAGTTCCTGAACTGAGGGAATATTACGTGAAATATACACTTAATTCCACCACATCCAAGTCCCACTTGAGCATTGCAAATACTTCAACTGAAAAAAGGTAAGCCACAATGAAACAAGACCAGACACATAAATCCCATTGTAGTAACATGAGAAACAGAAGACAACACAACTCCTCTAGTATTAAACCTACAGCAGTGCCAGCCATCTAGTAAATGTGAGTTAGAATAAATCCCAGACAGAGAACTCAAAATGGTGATTACAAGTTATATTCAAATGCACAAACAAATTGCTGAAAGAAATAAAGAAGAAGATGCATAATATGAAAGAGGAATTTAAAACATGAGCAAAAATGGTAAGAAAAACAATTTAGAGATGCTCAAAAACAAATAGTCTAATAAGTAATTTTGTCAGCAATAGAATGGACCAAGGAAAAGGCTATCTGAACTTAAAAAGCAGGTGAAGGAAATAGACCAATCCAACAAGGACAGAGATAGAACAATAAAGTGCCAGTCTAAATACAGGAGGCATTGAGAACACCAGAGAGGAGGGTGAGTGGGCTTCGTGGCTGGAATTGCCCTCTGCCATTGCTAGGCAACAGCAGTATAATTTAGGGAACTGACTATAGCTCAAGGTAGGAGATTTTATTTTTAATTTACTTTTTAATGTTTATTTTATTATTATTCGTGTGTATGTCTCAGTGTATGTGCACACATGTGTAGGTACCTATGGAGGCCAGAAGAGGGTGTCAGATCCTATGGGTCTGTGTTACAGGCAGTTGTGAGCTACCTAAGATAAGTGATGGAAACTGAGCTCTGGTCCTCTGCAAAAGCAGCAAGTGCTCTTAACTGCTGAGCCATTTCTCCATCTTTAACATAGCCCTTAGAGTTGTGTTAAACTTCTTTTTTTCCAGTTTTGAGTTTCACAACCCAGGGCTAATCCAGTTTGCAAATGCCATTTACACTGCAATAGGTAGTAGTCAGAGAGCTTCAAGTCACCAAGCTGTCACAGGTAGACTGAAAGGAGGACCTCCTCCTCCTCCTTGTTTGGGGGAAACACTTCCTCCACTGAAGGTTCAGAGACTGTCACCAGCTGACATTTAGTATCCATGAGAAGTCAACCCACCTTTGGTTGCCAGACCCGCAGAGAAGCTTGCAGGAGAGACACGTGGGAAAATGTGACGTCGTTGCACCTGACAACTCTGAAGTCAGCTTCTGGAACTCTGCGGGTGGTAGCTGAGGAATGGCCATGTCTTTAGCTTTTCTATTATTTGTAACTGAAAGCATCCTGATTGACACAGGCAGTCAGCAGGTACTGTATGAGGTGGGCAATGGGGCAAATAATCCAGATACACAGACAGCCTGTGAGGACTGACTGCCTGTCCCTGCAAAATACATAGAGACGGAGTCGGCCCGGGGAGTTTGAGGCTAGCCTCACTGTGCCAGAGAGGCCAAGCTTGAGGAACAGAGTAGCATAGCAGGGAACCTCGGGGAACCTCCTAAGAGCCAGTGGGCAGCTGCTGTGTTCTTTGTGCTCCCAGAGTTCCACAACAGACGCAACTCTAGGTGATAGAATCCAGTGTGGGAGTGGAAGCAGGGATACTTGCAAGAGCTGGTGATAGGTTTCTCTCTCTTGCCATTTTTTTTAATTATTTTTTATTGAGCTTTACATTTTTCCCCACTCTTCCCCCCTTTTCCCCTCTTCCCCACTCCCCCTTCACCCTTCCCCCTGCTCCCACACTCCCAATTTACTCAGGAGATCTTGCCTTTTTCCCCTTCCTAGGTGGATGGATCCTTGTATATCTCTCTTAGGCTCCTCTTTGTTACCTAGGTAGTGATACGTTTCTTAAGGCTTGTCACAAGTCAGGTGCTGTGGTGAGGGCTTCCCACACATATGTCACTCTTAGTGATCATTAAACACAATACAAAGCAACCAAACAAGCTTGTGGTCCTAAGTTATGGTTGCTTCTTCTTTCAGAGGGGAGGGCATTTTGAGTATAAGTAGACCTAAGTCAATTTTCAAACATTCATCCATGTTAGTCACTATGTGAATGGACTTAAGAATCCAGTCACAAATCCAATCATCACTCATTATCAAATCTCTTAGAAAAGCAGGAATTAAATTAAATATCCTAACTGATAAGGGCTTTGCAAAAAAACAAAAGTCCAACAAACAGATCATTTGCTCACATTATACATAATGATCAAGGACTAAATATTTTGTTTGGCTTCTTTCTGCCCCCCAAACAAGACAAGAACATCTGATCTTGTGTCTCCTATTCAACATTGGACTGGACTGTTGAATAAGGCAAAAATAAAATAAAGTAAAATAAAATAAAAGGCATCTAAAGAAAGAAAGAGGAATAAAGTTGTTCTGTTCTTGGGTGATTTTACTATCTACATAGGAAATCCCAAGTAGTCTACAGAAAAGTTACCAGAACTAATCAGTGAGATGAGCATGGCCACTGAATGCAGTGTCTAAATACAAAACAAGTAGCTGTTTCTACATGCAAGCACTGGATGATTGGAAAGAGAAACAGAAGTTCAGAGTAGGTAGCAAATAGAGAGTAGGAGTCACGCAGGTATTGTACCCAGTTGATTACTAAGTATTGAGGATCTTCCCTGAAGCTGCCCTCTCCAAACCCTGCCCTCAATGCACCAACTGGTGGCCCCTCCCCTGGAGCTGTGATCTTCAGACTGAGCTCCTGAGAAAACCTGTCAAGGGTCAGCTCCTCCCCCTGAGATGCTCAAGACCACACCTAAAGGCTATTTAATGGGGGGAAGGGGGCAGCGCTGTCCCTGACCTGTCTCGTGATTCTCCCTGGTGGTTTCTCCTCTTCTTTTGGGACCACCTGGGAATGCTTTGCTCAGATTAAAACTGGACTCACATTCGATCTGATTCAACTTATTGCATAGGCGGAGACTTAGTATCTGGGTACAGAAACTTAGCAGTAAGTCCTATCACATCTGCCTCAAGCATTTCTAGACTTAATTGCAAGTGGAGGGCTAGCTGCACTAAGGGTTCTCATGGGCTCACAAGGCACATTGTTGAACCAAGTGTGGCAGACTCAAGGAAACAGGACTAGATTACAGATCTCTGTGATAGAGATGATTCATACTCTCCCCTCTGTAGGGACTGAGTTAGGACTGGAACAAGACAGAGACTGGAATGTATGGAGCAGGGACTGTCAGTCTTGTTATACAGAGACCAATCTTAGTAGAAATTGCACTAATCTCACCTTATCCATAGTTACCATTTCCATTTCTGTCACCAGGCTCTGGAAAGAACACACACAATGAAACACCTCTTTGCTTTTATATTGCACACCATTCCCAATAGTATGATTAAACCTCGTGTTATCTTAGTCCACCCTGCCCAAGGTATGAACTGCCCTTTTGTCCAGTGTGACACTATATACACTACCTATCCGGTAGTCACCCAACAGCCATTTCAGCCCTTAGGCCTCCCATGATGTTATGACAGTGCTGATACTCAAGGGACACTTTCATAGTAAAGGAATTGCCCTAGTTGTTTTTTTTTTTCCATTGCTGTAATAAAATGACCAAAGCAAGTTAGCTTTCATTTCCAGGTTACAGTCATTGCAGGGAAGTCAAGGTGGTAGAATCTTAAAACAACCAGTCACATTAGGTGCACAGTCCAGGGCAGAGAGGAATAAATGCATGGAGTGCTTAGCTCATCTTCTTCACCCTTATATAGTCTAGGACAAAAATCTAGGGAATGGTGCCATCCAAAGTAGGCTGGATCTTCCCACATTTATAAAGACAATTCTCAGATGTGCCCACAGGCCAACTTTGTCTAGACAATCCCTCATTCAGACTTCTTTCTACTCACTCTACATTGTGTGGAGTTGGCCATTAAATGATTCTCAGCATCCACTGGTGAGTTTGGAGTCTACCCATCTAGGGTAAGGGGAGATTTTGTTGTTTATCCAAGCTGCTTAAACTCATTCATCAAATCACCTTCTTCCAGGGAATCCTGCTGACTCAAAAGAATTTCCTGGTCACCTAGTGCCCCTAGCTCTGGCTCAGACTGAAGGAGTCTGGGATGTCTTCTCCAAGTAGAGGACAGAAACAAACAGAGACAGGGATGCCGATGAGGAAAGGACTGGACAGAACGAAAGTCATCTAGTCACGTATCAAACCTTGGGCAGACAGGAATAGATAACATACTTGGTAAGGAGATGACACTCCACCTTTCAAGAAGCTGACGCTCATCTTGACCTACAGGTGAACAATGCACAGCACACAGAGATAGGCTTTCCAAATTGACAGTGAGATTTATATCAGTGTCCAGAGCAGAGGGTAAGTGAAGGAAGAGGAGCTTTAGTAGAGTCACTTATACGTGCCCAGCACCAGACTCAGTCCTCAGCTTGCTTAATAAGCTGCAGGGTGTGTAGTATGCTGATCTTGGCCTGTGAACCCTCAGATTTGTGCTCACCTTTCCTCTTCAGCCCCTGGCATCAGGCCTCAGCCCTGATTCTGGGTTTCTCAGCATTCTGTGTCATTTGGTAAGAAGTGTGAATATTGGGAGACAAAGATACAAGATATTCCTTTTTGTGGTGATACCTTTCTTGCACAGATAAAGTCTTTCTGGAGGTCAGAGAATGGAGCTTGCTACTAGCTAATCATAGAGGTCTGTACAGACAAACAGGAAGTGACATAGCAGGGCAGAAACAGGATATAAGCAGGGAGAAACAGGAAATCTCTCTCTTCTCTGCTGAGACACTTAGGAGGTAAGGTGTGTTGTGGCTTGCTCCTTCTCTCTGATCTCTCAGCATTCCCCTCTATATCTGACTCTGGCACTTTATTATCAAAACCAATTAAGAACAGCCTTTACACCTCCTCTTGACATCAGGTGTCTTCTCAAAATGCCTTCTTTTATGGTTCCATGAATTATTCCAAAGACTAGATAATTCATAAAGAAAAAGGTTGATTTAGCTAACAGTTCTGGAGATTCAAGATCGCAGTGCTAGCATGTGCTTAACTTTGAGGGTTTTCTGGCTCCCCCCAAACACAAAAACAGTAAATGGCCTCATGGTAACAGCATTTGAGAAATGGAGAGAGGATGTGACCAGACAGGACTACACAGCAGTTCAAAGGCTAATATCACTCTTTTCTATCAATTCATTCAGTAAGAACTAACAAAGTCCCACAAGAACTGTACTAATCAGAACTATGTGCTCTCATAGACAGTTACCTATCACAAGGGCCCTCTGCTTAAAGATCCCACCCCTTCAATAACATCACCACCAAGACCAAGGACTCAAAATAGGGATCTTTATGGTTACCATCAAACCATAGTATCCTCCTCCCCAGAAAGTCTCATTATATGCTTATCTCCTTTTAAGTTATCTAGCTCTTGACTTCTAATACAGCTCCATCTTGTGTGTGTGTGTGTGTGTGTGTGTGTGTGTGTGTGTGTGTGTGTGTGTAGGTAAGGCTTGCAGTGGCTTCCTGCTGATGCCACCCAGTAGGACCCTTCCTGTCCTCTGTATGACTCCTCAGTTGCCCATCATTTACATAGCAGAAGTGACTCTCTTTGATTTAAGCATTTGCAGCCACTTCTACTGTGTTTGTTTGTCACTGATTGATACTCTTACAGACTGGAGTCTTTTCCTAGTTGCCGTTAGTGTACAGTCTTTCTCAGTATCTATGGGGGATTTTTCAGGATCCTGAAAATGGCAAAAAAAGGGTATGTGCTTAAGTGTCTTACCTGACCTGGCATAGCATTTGTATATAAAATGTGCATGTCCTCCCGTATACTTTAACTCATCTAAAAACACCATGTAAAAAGTTGTTGTAGTAACAAGGAAATATTGGTCCTCAGTGCTGAACCCTCAGAGGCAGAGGGCCAAATGGATCACTTACCCACTAACTGCCTGAGAAATAGCCAGTCCATACCAGTTTTCACAGGTGAGAAAACTGACGCTAAACACATTTGTCTAAGGGAAGATGGAATTTATAAGAAATCTTTCTGAGCCCTAGAGTATGTCTGCTCTCAACACTATTACACACATAGTTTGTTGTATCCACTGTCTTAATCTGCAAGGCATGGGCTATTTCCTGTAGCTTTTAGTAGAATACAATTAACACATGCTGTTGGGTTCATTAGAATTTCAGAGGCACATGAGTGACGTTGCATGAGGATCTACACCTAAATCCTAACACAGAATACAAGATCCTGGACAAGATTTCAATTATCTGCCAAGAGTTAGTTTTTGCTGTCAAAACATTTGCTATCCTGGTTTCAGAATCACAGTGGGAAGATTCTTCACACTCTGGCAATGTAATGAGATCCCTCTCTGTGAGGAGTGCAGAGGTGCCTCCCTGGGCAGCTATCTGTGCTTTTACATGCCACTTACAGACAGAGAGACTAGAACTAAACCTCAGCTAAGACCTTCCTTAAAGCTAGAGTTTCTCACTTTGGTTTTAAGTTTTTATTGAGGATCTGGAGAGAGGGCTCAAAGGTTAAGATGATGAACTGCTCTTCTTGCAGAGTAACCACGTTCAGTTCCCAGCAGTTCTCAACTGCTTGTAGCTCCAGTTCCCGTGGATCTAACACCTTCTTCTGGAGTCTGTGGGAATACACACACACACACACACACACACACACACACACACACACGCCTATATACCCACATGCATGCCCCCCATACATATACACATAATCAACAATAAATCTTTTAAAAAAATTAACTGAATATTGACTAGTTACAGTTATGTGTATTTGTAAGATACAAAGTGAGATGTGGTGTGAACACAAATATGGAATAACTGAGACAAGTTAATTAGCATATACAGTACCTCAACATGTACATTTTCTCCCCCACCTGACTAAAACATTGCTGAGTTACCCCACAAAGACTAAAACTTGAAGTGAAGCAGAACTCTAGGATGAATCTAGGATGCCCAGCATGACACATTATCTCCAGAGTTCCCAGTCACTAAGGGATGCATGCAAATTCATTATGGGAATGGTGGTTTTCAAAAAGTGGTTGGGGATAAAGCCCAGTGGCAAAACGTTTGCTTAGGATGAGTGAGGCCCTGAGTCCTAGTCCTAAAATCATTAAATCAATCAATCAATCAATAAATATAAATAAATAAATAAATAAAACCAAACAAAAAACTAAGAAAAGTATTTTTCTTTGATTTGTTTTAGTTAGGCACTTTTGTAAGTTTATGGCTTCCTCAAGGCTGGCAAGACACATAGATGCTAAGATTTGGGTCCTTACTCTTGTAAAAAAGCTTTATTGAGATACAACTGATAGACATTTTATAAAGGGTATTATTTGGTAAGTGAGCATATCCACCAGAAAGTTAGGGAAAGGTATTAAAAATGTTTACTGATGAGTTTTGGGGTTTATTTATTTCTTTTTAAATATATATATATATATATATATATATATATATATATATGAGTGATTTGTTAGTATAATCACAAAAGTGTGCACCTATCTCTGCTGCATAATTCAAGTGCATTTCCTTGTCCCAGGAGAAGACTGTACCCTCTGGGAGTCTCACACTAGCTCTCCATTCCTTCCTCGCCCCCCCCTCCAGCCTCTGATAATTGCTACTCTTCTTTATATCTCTGTATATTTGCTTATTCCGGACTGATCAGATTCATGGGATCACATAATACATGGATTTTTGTGTCTGTTGTTCTCTTCACATACTGATTTCAGATTGTCTGTTGTAGCAAGTATTAATCCAGTGACATGTCACACAGTTGCATTCTGAGAAATGGATCATTGGGCAATTCTATCTTTGTGCAAACATTGTACAGTATATCTGTGAAAACTGAGAAGATGAAGTTGCAAGAAAGAATTTTTTTCTATCAATGGTAGTTAGTGCTCCAAAGGCCAATATCCCATAAGATTCTCGAATCTTGTGACGTGGCTGTTTGCCCAACTGCTATACATTCCTGAAACTTCCTATCAAACCCTTCCCCTTCATGCTAATTAACCAATCATGTCAGATAGTGAGGTCAAATTCCTACTAATGGGATGAGACACAGTCATTACCTGCATTATAGATTTAAAAAAAAAAAAAAACTGAGGCCATTTTGGCCATGTATGCTTGCTAGACTGGTTTGGGTTCTGGGGTACCCTTTTTACAAGAAATTGCCTTGCTAGTTACTTTCACTTTGTGCATTTCTTTGCATGATATCAAGATTATTTTCATCCAACAGTGTGACTCATATACCTGGACTGTTTAGTACACAGCCTATTCTATTATGGCTATAACGGACAATAAAACACAAGACTAAATCAAGCATGAGAGCAAATGATGCCTTCAAGAGACTTGGAAGATATAGTATGCAGGGAAATGGGCAGAATACCATACTGGAAATATTTTATATGAATAGAATGAGTATACTATGAATTTACCATGAAAAGTATGCCATAGAAACATGCAAAGAAGGGACATTGACATTTATTACTATTAAGTGCTATGTACTATCTGTATGTAAATGCTATGTTTTTATACAATTGATAGTACATGTGTTGATGCCAGCATCTCTAGTCATGTAGGGATGCACTATTACTACATTAACGTGGCTCATCACTAGCCAATAATTTTTTTCAGTTCCATCACAGTAATCTTATGGAATTATAAATGTGGTCTATCCTTGACTATTGCTATTTGGTGGTGACTGCCCTTCATATTATGAAATATGAACAAATCAAATTCTGTCCATCCAGCAATAGATTTGGGCATCTGATGTGTCATTTATGAAGAATGTTACAAACCACATAACTGGTGACGGTTCTCAGTGTGGTACCGAATGGCACTAGTAAGAGCCAGCATTCTTATCCTTTTACTAATCTTAGGGAGAAAGCTTTCAACATCTCACCTTTAAGTAAGATATGCTAGTGGCTTGAACCAAAGTACTACTTTGGTTGGGTAACAATTTTCTCCCACTTGGAAAGTTTTATCCAGAAGGGGCCAGGATGGGAAGGCTGGTGAGACCCAGGAAGTAAACAAACGTTTTTGTTTGGGAAAACTGAAACCTAAACAATTTGTGTGGGACCCTCCCCAAGGTTCCAGAAGCTATAAACAACTGCTAGAGGAGGAGTCGACTTGGAGCAGCTGGGCTGCTTAGAGGAGATTTGAGATTCCGGCAAACCATGCAGAGAGCTCCAGGGTTACAGCTTTCATGAGTCGTCATCCATGCAGGGGTCGGCCTGCAATGATGGAGCTGCCTTTGACTTATCCTGGCTTTTGTAAGTAACTCCTCATCCATATTCCTGTAAGTAACTAATAAACCCATTGGTTGACCAAATTGGACTTTGGTGTCATGTTTTTGATCTGTTGCTTTTTATCTTCCCTATTGGGAGGATGTCATGTCTACCCAGGAAAAGTCTCACACGGCAATGATGAGAAGCAGTCAGACTCTGGATGTACTTTGAGATTAGATATTCGGGAATAGATGGGATATATATGCAAAGAGATTGGCGTCCAGACTGACTCCAAGAGTTTAACCTGAGAGCTGGAATGAGGGAGTACCTGTCACTGAGATGTGGAATGTGAATAGACCAAGCTTAGAATTTGAAGAATGTCAACAATCCAAAAATTACTGTGGCATTTTGGGGGTAGACATTGCTCATTATTGATCAATTATCTATCACCTCCTTCTGTTATGATAAATCTTTCTGCCAAAAGCCACCGAGCCCTGCGCCACATGTGTGCTCTACGCCAGCCACCTGCCCGAGTTAGGGCCAAATGAATACACAGAAACTTGTATTAGGTTCAATGATGCTTGGCCAATGACTAGGATTCTCATCTGTTAGCTCAGTCTTAACTATCATAAACTATATATTTATAAGACTTATCTTTTTGGACGCCTTGTTGGCGTCCTCCCTTGCCGGTGGATCACATTGTGCTACTGGAGGAGGCGAAGGGTAAAAGGGAGCACACTTCCTGTTTCCTTGCTAAATATGAGTCTCCTTGCTATGTCACTTCCTGCCTGGATCACCACTTCTCTACTACATTTCCCAGAATCCTCTTTGACTCCTAGTCCTGTCTAACTTGCTGTCTCATTGGCCAAACAGTATTTTATTTAACAATCAATAAGATAAACAACACAGAAGTACTTCCCCCATCATCTCCTCTTTTCTGTCTAAAATAAAAGGATAGCTTATCTTTTATAATAATTGAAGAAAACTATAACCATAACTATCTGTCTTCAACTCTATCAAAGACCCACCACTCCTGACACCATTCCATAAATCTTTCCGCCAAAAGCCACCAAGCCCCACTGCCACATGTGCCCTTTATGCCAGCCCCTCCCCAATGAATACACAGAAACTTGTATTAGGTTCAGTGATGCTTGGCCAATGACTAGGATTC